CTGCATCTATAACAGAGACTTCACTGGTTTCTTTTAGAGATAATGCTTAGGAATAGTGTGTAGGGACCCCATACGGGGACAATGTGTAGGGTCGGAGTGCAGGGACAGCAAGAAGAAATAAGAAATAATTAATATGGTCAATGTGCAGGAACAATGTCCTGGGTCAGCAAGCAGGGAGAGTGTCCAGGGGCAAATCTAAATGTAGGATGTATCTGATATCCTGGTTCTGCCAGTAGTGTTAGATGACGGCTGACTGGTCTATGCTTTGTTCTCATTGGCTGGGCAATCAACCAATTAGCTGCTGAGGTGGCAGTCTCCAGCCTTTAAAACTGTTGTCAATCCCCAGCCCCTGTGCCCATCATTTCCTGGCCGGCCTGTGACTCTGTATTTCTTTATTATCCAGCAATTTTAAAACTAAAATCATTCATAGCTATTTTCATAGCTCCTTACTGCCACTTGTCAGACACAAGTTATATTATACACAGAATTATATTTATTGTAAGAAAAACCTGCATTCTTTTGGTAATTTAAAGAGGCAAATATATTTTTGTCTAATGAAGATTTTAGGAATAGAATACACTGTTCATGCTGAAATGCATACTTTGTGCAATATTTTACATAAACATATTATTTCTCTTTTATAACTTCACCTGTGCGTGCCTGCTGCACTGGATTCTGGTGTTCAATAGAGAGTGATTCAATTTGAGTCGGCACGTTAGTGCAGAAGAGAACAACACTCAGTGTCAAAATATTAGCAGCAGCCCCCTCATGTTCTGACAGGTGCATCTTGTACAGGACTTGATTTACTCATCTAATCTCGCCAGTGCCAGCTCATGTGCAATTATAGTGCCTGCATTTATTCTGGTTTTCTGAATGCCAGAAGAGAAGCACATGAGAAAGATGTGTCTCTGGGCACATGCAGAGAGAGAGTGAACTGACTCCAGGTGGCCTGAGGTGGGTGGAATAGCATCATGGGACTCATCGCGCCCCAAAAGCTCAGTCTGGTGGGCTTTTGCAAAGATGGAAAACTCCAGCAATCGAACAACACACCTCCACTGACACCACATTAAGACCTCTCGAACACTGTCAGAGAGAAACTAAATTTAGAGAAGGATGCTAATGAAGAACAAGCTTTACAAGGCTTCGAAATGTGGGGATGACTTAGAAGGTGCAAACATAATACAAACAAGCCAATAGCGAAGAATTATCCACTCGCAAAAAAAATCGAAATGATTGTGACCACAGTCTTCCTTTTGTGAATGGCATGCAACTAACTAATAGAAGGGCTGGTTTGCTGTGGTGGGGTTCAACTGAGGAGCTGTGTCAGCATGCCAGCTGCAAGGGATCAAGTGGAGGTTGATTATATGATTAAAATAAAACAAAAACAGAAGAAAAAGGAAAAATGTGTCTTCATGCTTGAAAAGGATCCACAAGTTATTTTCAAGCAACCTCTTTTTGTTCATATACTATGACAACCTTGTAGGAAGTGTCACAATAAACCTGGCCACTGTTCTCAAGGTTTATAAGTCTGCAAAAAGAATTTGGAACTCGAATTGTGCTGTTGTGGTCAACCTGTCTTTCACTGTTAATTGTGCAATTCTTGCCTCTTTCACTGTTTCAGATGGGATATTCTCTCCCTCGGCAAGACCATTCTGTCCTCCTAAAGCACGTATTCAGAAAGAGCCACTGACATTTGAATCTTAAATCTCTGTTAAATGTCCCAGTACATGAACAGCTATTATATATTTGCAAGGGTTTAGGGTCCAATACACAACTACAAAGTCTTAGTATGTACTGGTTCATAAGTAACAAACTCATGGGGTCTGGAAGTCTGTCTGCACAGAAATCAAGCTGCAAGGTGGTTTGTACCACAGAAGTGGCAGTTTTTTGGACGTCTATGCATTGCTGTGAAATTGTAGTTTCCTCAGATTGGAAAGTGTCTGAAGAGAAGACAACATCGGCCTCCTGTGAGCAGCCCCTCTCTGCCATGCTTATATAACAGCAACTGGGAGTAAATATAATCCCGTTATTATAAACAGATCATCTTTGCTCTGCTTCAGAGCTCTGCGCCTGGCACACGAAGCAGAATATCTGAACTGCCGTCCATTAAAAAACAGCTAAAATATTTCCTATTGATTCATAATGTGTTGTGATGTTCAAGTGATGTTTTTAACATTGTGGCCGCTATATAAATAGATAAGTGCTAATTAATTGGACAAGAGATAATGAAAGTCCATTCTCACAATTCATCGGACTCCATCCCCTTAGCACACCTGACCTGGGAGGCAGTTCCTCCTCAGACAGACAGGCAGAGCGACTTTCTAGACACTCCTCTGAGCACTCGTCGTGCAGCCGTGCTGAAATCACTCTGTTAATTTGTTTATTAATGCTGCAGAAGGGGGAGGGAAAAGCAGATGGTAAGATCCAGGTGATAATCTGGGTTCCCTGCAGCGGCACAAAAAGTAAATGAACTAAAACAATTGTTTCATTAGAAAACAGAATGAGTCTAAACATGAATTATACCACTGCTGTATGCTGCACGGGGTGGTTTTCACAGGGAGGCCAGTTGTTGACCATCCCCCTGGAGAAAGACAAGAGAACAGGACAAGGGTCTGCCAGCAGAACACGATTACAACTGAGCTCCAATAAATCCCTGCACGTCTGATCAAATACAGATACTGCAGGATTAGAAATATTAAAAAACAGGCCATACAAAAAGCTTTGGATTAAATACTCTTTTGATTTCATAGCATTCACTGCAACAAGTAGCTGTTATATAATGTGTATTAAGAACAGTGTGTGTACGAAATGAGCTCTTTCCACATCGGGAGATAAAGAGGCACGGAGAAGCAAGACTGGAGAAAACACAGACGTGATTCCTTCTTTGAAAAGCCTAAACCTCTGTATACAGCAGTGTCTGTATTTATAATTGCTCCTTGATCTGCAGCAGCGTGGCCACACACCGGGTTCAGGCGATTCCTGGGGTTTAGTAACTGCAACAGGGTTAAAAACAAGGTTTTGTTTGATGCAATTAAATTGATTTGCACCAGAATTTTTTCACAACCTTTACACTATTCAGGAACTGTGTTCTTCAATGATAAAGGCAAAAAATAATTACAATCTTATTATGCAAATATGAATTCTCTGCAGAGCAAAAAAATGCTGTATAAAAAGAAAGCTGGTGAGAAATGCAGAACTTGCAAGATTTTGCAGACCCTATCACGCGGAAAACATGGCTATAAAAAGATCCTCAACATTTCTCTCAGCTGCAAATGCCAAAATGTGCAGAATGTGACTTCCAGTCAGCCTTTCCAGGCGGAGCTCAACAGGAAGCGTTCACAGCGAAATGATTGCAGTGCTGCGTAAATGCAAGACAAAGAGCCCTTGTCAGTCCGAGCAGCAGTAAGAGCTCACCTGCTCCCGATCTGCACACAGCAGACTGACCGCGGGCTTACGAGAGGGTCTCTGAGTGAGCCAGACCTTCCACTGCCCTCATCCACTGTGTAGAGCAGACTGCCCACTGTCCTGTGGGACGGTCCCTGTGTAGAGCAGACTGACCACTGTCCTGTGGGACGGTCCCTGTGTAGAGCAGACTGACCATTATTATTGGAGAGAGACTCTGGTTCCTTTTGCTCACACTGACAGAAGTAATCAAGCCAGAGCTCAGCCTCCAACGTTAACTTTCCTGAAGTCATTACTTCTGCATTTCTGTAAATTTGCTTTGATGAATGTGTCACAGGGTTTCTATACCTCCACCATGTTTTTGTTGAAGTCTGGATCAACACATCTGGCTAAACAATGTTGCCTGGCAGTGTTGTTGAAGCAGATCCATTCAAGAATTGACTGGTTAAGGCCATTGCATCAATCATGTATTTGCAAACAAACGAGCAAAATAGGCTAAAAGGCTTCCTCCCTTTTGTAACCTTTTGTGTGTCCTTAGTGTACTTCCTGCTGTGGTTTCCTAAGGATTACTGCGATCTCACTGTATTTTACAGTGCTGGCGGACAGAATCTTATTACCCATGGACCAGAGTAATAAGATCAGACAAAGTTGTGTTTAGACCATAGAAAATTAAAAGCTCTAAAATAAAGTACCACCACTGGAAAAGGGGCTGACAAAAATAATCTGACACACTCACCATGGAAAACAATCACCGGCAGCTTTCAGAGTGTGGAGTGATGTGGGAATTCTTGCCTAGTAATCAGCTGGTCAGCAGGTAGGTGGAGAGGTTAAAGGTTAAAGGTCAGATGCTGCTGTGATCTGCACTGCAACGTCTCCATCTGAGGGACACTGTGAGTGTCACAACCCTCAACCATGGAGGAAGAGCAAATTCCCACAGCAGGTAGAGTCACTCCGGCTCTCACATGACAAAACACTTTTATATAACCATGTTCATGGCTGGTGACGCACTGTATGTTCATGGAGCTGTATTTTCTTTGAAGGAGGTACAGTATCTCACTGTCTGCCATCTTAAAGGTCTGTGTGTGGGGGTGGAAGAGGTGACCAGCTTCCTTTATAAGAGCACTGCAGCCAGGTGTAATATCCTGTTTAAACGCTAATAAAGGGTGAGGACACTAGTGACAGGATTATCTGATGTATCTGGCTCTTCCTTCATAACCCAGTAAATCCTGGCTGCAGGTCAGCTGCACTAAAGCTCAGAGCTGGAGTGGAGGAGCAGGTGGGGAATTTTTGGAGGAGTCGGAGATGCCGAGCAAGACTGACGACCTACTTTTTGTTCACATTTCTCCTGCTATCTTATATATCCAGCAGTGAAAAATAAGTTGTTGATTTTTTAAATCCTTTGATAGGTTTGTGTGCTGACAGGAAGCTCTGTCTGCTTTGTTGATAATAAACCTCAATGCATGTCCATATCTGTATTGTTCTAAAATGCTGTAAAGCAGATTGACCTTGGAATCCTTTAAGTGGATTTTACATTGTTACTATCAGCCTGGGCCTGTTACACGCTCTTGCTCCAGAGAGCTGCCTGGATAGGAATCGGATGATGTTCAGCGCTGGTCCATTAAATCAGAGCCATTCTGGGAGAGTCGCATTCACAAGATGAAATTTCACAGAATAAAAGACTTTAGATGCAGAGATATGTCGATCAGCTTAGTCAAAGAATTGACACAATATAATCTCTCCAGCCTTCCAAAAGATTATGATAGAGCAAAGTGCCACAATTATTTAATTTCCAAACAATTTGAAAGCTTGAATAGTATTTTCTATAGCATTATTTTTGTTCTTTTTCCATCACTGTAAATAAGACTTTCGTCACGAGTTCCATTAGTGCAGAGCGATCTGCAAACACTGCCCACAGAGCCTGGCACTGGCACTGCCTTCTTCAAAGTCATTCAGACCCCATTCTGGCTGAGGCCTCAGCCTGTTGCCTTCTGTGTGGGGATGAGTCCGCTGGCCCTGTGCTTCCCTGTTGAGAGAGAGGCCTGTTATATCACCACCAACCCAGGGGCACCACGAAGCCATGCTGACATCACAAAGTGAAGTGAACAGACACAGACACATGACACACCCCCAGAAGGGAACACAGAGTGCCAAAGACCACTAATGGCACTAAAGTTGCTGCATCATTAGTGAATATCTGCATGTGCTATTACATAAAGGAACAGTGTTCCTAACAAGAAAGTAGTGAGAGTTACAACATAACTTTACAAACCTGAAAAGGTTTCAAGTACTGATAGACAGTCTAGGGAAAAGAAAAATGCATTAGTTTACAGTAAGGTTCAAATTTAATAATGACAGTGATTAAAAATACACTTTTGTGATTGTTTTTTAAAACCTCATAGTAAGCATTAACAGAGAAACAAAGAAAAGATGCACACATTGACCCAATAAATATCTTTTGAGAGAGCGCAGCATTTTTAAAGTGCGTGTAAATTGAAATATGTTGATTTGTAAATTCAGCATTACATCATTGCCAAGATTAAAACTGGTGCTTAATGCCTGTGCACTGTAAATGTGAAATTCTGATAATCTGTTCATTGTAAAAACTAACCCAAAAGGATGCAGCTGAATAAATCAGTAACATTGTTTAGCAGTCCACATGGTCTGAATGCTTTCCGTCTTGGCGAAGACAGAATGTTGAATTCACAATGTCTTTCAGTTTAAGGGCAGTTTTAAAATGTCTCAAAGCATTCTGGTGAAGTTACAGTCTCCCTGGATTTGATCCAGTACCAGAGATGCCAAAAAAACCTTCTAACCCATTAAGCAGAATTTCATGATTTACAGTATCTAATACTGCTGCGCTGAGATCTGAGAGAATCAAGATACATAGCACACCTGAATCAGCAGCTGTCCTAAGCTCATTAGATGCTATAAAAAGAGCACTCTCAGTGCTATGGAATTGTCTATGCATACTGTCTAATCGTCTGGAATGATTTAGAACGTTTATTTGCACTGAGGTGACTATTCTTCTGTTGAACTAAGTCAATGTGCAAGAATATGTAGTGAATATCAGCCACCCTTCCTATATTAAACTTATTGAATGATGTGGTTTTTAGAAGCCTGAACTTTCCTCAGTTCCCAATTCAATCGTGCATGGAATTGCTCAGAAGACTGAAGCTGTTTCACATTGCTCTGAATTTGAAATTGTTTGAAAATTATTCACATTGACAGTAATTATGCAATAGAATGTTAGGTTCTGAGTTCAACTGCAGTGGACTGTTAGAATACACTCATTAATGCAATCTACTGCTGTTATATATGTTTACAGTGTAAAGCACTGTCTAGTTCTGGTTGTGTCTTTTTCAAGCAGGGTTTGTTGCTGTGAAGTTGCAAAGCTGGGAAGTTCAAAAGCTGCCTGTTTCTGCATGCTTTCCACCTGACTCTTCCTCTTCTGAAACTCTTTCTACTGTTCCATTTGTAGAGGAGATACAGGGTTTATCCATACAATGTTTTGTAAAGCATGAATAATTGATGCACATGACAAGAATTAACAGATTTATCTGTAAAAAACAACAATATATCAAAAGCATACTTCATACTGTGCAGAACCTTTGAAACCTAATTGTGAATTGTTACTGCTTATAACAGATTATTTTCTTCCTGAAAAAAATCACATTGCTTTTTTAATTTTAACTCTTGTTAGAATTGAGTATGAAACATTTCCCCTTGGAGTTTCTCAGTAATAATAGCCAAGAAATAGTGGTCAGCTGTCAGAGTCTTATTGCCAGTCTGCTGTGCTGGCTGAGAAGTGGAAAGAGGAGAAAGAGAAACACAGCAGGCTTATACTGTATGTCTGTAGTGGTCGCAGATGAGACACTCATCTCTTCTCTGAAGGATATGATCGCAGATGAGATCTACATCATCACAATCCAGCTCTTCTGTCCAACAGCACTTTCAATCTTCACCACTCGTATACCTTATACCACCTATACCAGGTATATCATCAGCAGTTATGACACAGAGAGAAGACACGTTGTCTTCCTGTTGAGAAAAGATCGCTGTTCCTTTTTTTGCCTGAAGAACTTTCTTATTGGAGAAACGATGTGGCAGCAGCTCCTAAGCAGGCTGTATTGCCGTTGCACTCTGTGCCAGGGAGGTATAAATAGCAGTGCTTGTGTCCTTGGTCCTTGTGATTTACAGAAAGCCAAGCCAGCCTGTTCCACACCAGGCCTCTCTCATAAGACTGTTTGCAATGAGGAGTGAGTATTGAGCTGCCCAAAGTAAATCAAAGCAAATACATCATCTGAATAGCGTTGGGATACCAGGCTATGAGGACCCCTGATCACCTTGCATGTCTACAGATCACCTGGCCTCAGAGTCTTAATCAACCACCAGGAAAGAGTTAAGCCACCTCTCTGTTCATTATTTCCAAGGTCTGGGATTTGCAGTAACTGTAAAAAGAAGGCATCATATTTGTTTTCTAATTGTTCCCTTGCTGTGTTAATAAAATGACAAAACCTGGGACCTGGGAGGTCCTGTTTTTTTTCTTCTGTGGTTAGCTGACATATTCAAAGACAATTCTCTTCTATTCTCAATAAGGGAGAAACCCACCAACATTTCATGCCTGAAATGTTAGTTCTTTTCGTGCACCCCAGTCATTGTAATGGTACTGTCAGTTCTTGGAAATATATATATATAAAAGAAGCAAAGCCAGGGCTGGATTGCAATTTCCTCTCTCCATTAACCCTACAGACCAGTAAGTGCCTGGTAGTTTGTATTGTGGCACAAGGATGTCAGTGCAAAAAACAGCACTTTGTGCTTCAGCATATGTTCTCTTTGTGTGCTTGGGAATGGCCTTTTAGAGGAACTGATGGTGGTCACAGATGTTTGCAAATTGCCTTCTTCTCCCCATGATGCTCTTGCCGGAGACCCTGCTGTGTGTGGAGTGCAGGCTGTGGGACAGGGCGCAGTGCTGTTCTCAGGGATGACCACGAGCCACTCTCCTGGCTGCTCTTCTGTGGTTCCAGCATGTCTTTCCAGGAATGTTTCATGGTGTGCATCGTGCCTCATGCAGCTCTGTATGCTTGCCCTTGCTGGCTCACCACCGTACACTTGTACCCAACCAAACTCGATTGCAGTTTACGGAATTCAGAATATTTGTTTGGTAGTTTGTTAATTCCCTAGCAATTTCATGCCTGGCAGGATGAATGGGATTTAACTGACATCACCATTTTGTAGATCTGACTGAGCCCGCCTGAAACCGAGCCTTCAGTGTTTCAAATTGCTCTCCTGTTTCTTTTAGTTCAGTGCCACGTGAGACAAATTACTTTTCTGCATCGAACCAGCTCGGCAGATCCGAGAGACAGACAGCTTCTCTGCCTCTCTGCTTTGTTCTCTGGTGTTTCCAGTTCTGCTCTGCGTTTGATGTGATTTCATTTATTCCTGTTCTTATGACTTTGTCTTTCCTCCCCCCCGATGTCCTCGCTCTACAGCTGCACACACCAGCAGTGCACATGTCCCAGCCATCCAGGAGAGAATCAAAACGAAAACAATTTCTTTAATTTAATTTTCGTCTTGATGGAAACAGCTGACATACAGTTGTTTTCCTTGATTTTTCCTGCTTGCTCTTCATAAGAGAAGAGATCTCATGCTTTTACTGTTATACTGTTTTCTGCACAGTGCAACATCACCCATGTATTGATTGATACATTTAATATTCAGTCCTATACAGTTTGATTGGCCATTTCCATCCTCTTCATTAAAAACTGACTGGCTTCATAATCTGTTATGAAGTGATGTCTGGCCAAAAATACTGCATTTTCAGTTTCCACAGATAATCCAAAACTCTCAGAAAAGCCTCTCATGGCTGTGGAATGACAAGAGGAAATACTGGTGTCTGATCGGGATCAGATCCTTGAGGCTTTCCTGCCTTTCTGATCCCAGCAGCCTCTGAGTCTATGATGTCATCACCTCCACCTTCATTGGCGGGGTCAGTGGCAGGAGTTATTTTTAAAGAACGGATATTTTCTTCATTTTAAAAATACAACAATACGATTGTTTCTTTCTCCACAGCATACTGTTCTGTGCTTTGCTGGCCTGCAGCCACATTCCCAACCACTCCAGACAACACCTGGCCCAGGAAGAGCATGAACCCCACTGAGCACTCCCCCTTTCTCAAAAGCTCACAAGCCTTTTCTACTTTTTTTTCCCCCAAAAAAGATTAAAGATGTGATACAGGTTCTCACAGTAACTTAAACACTGCTGTAGTCTGTGGTCTAACAGGCAGTAGGCAATAGGGATCTGACACACAGCACTATAGAGTATGTTGAAGGTGTGTGATGGGATATACACTTCACCCTGAAATGATGACCAAACCCACACATGATCACTGAACTGCAGTAACTGCAGCTGCTGTCTCTTTCAGCTGCCTGTAACTGACCTTGCTTAGTATCAGAGCAGCACAGCAAGCCGCCACCAGCCCAGTAATTAAGGCACATTCAGACGGCCGCGTGTCTCCTCTGGTCTAGACTGCTGTGACCGGCACCGAGTCTGTCAGCGGAAGGGCAGCACCTGTTTGACTGTGCCCTCTGTCAGAGCAGTAGGAAGTGCTACCATTGGCAAAAGACATTCTGCCTTTCCGCTTGGTTTTCTACCACTGGGAATTTGATTAGCTTTTTTATGAAAAATAAGAATAACCTGTGTATTAACCAGAAATAATTTGTACTGATGGCAGCCTGACTAGCTCAGCTCCTCAGTTGAGAAAACCACTACTAATGCAAATATATAAAAAAAAACATTTAGGCTTTGCAAGTAGTGTGTATTAAATTGTATTTGTATGCAGTATTGGAAACTATCAGCCATTAAACCAGAGTATAACAGGCCACAAACTAAATAATGTGACTCACAAGCAGTAACACAGCCATTTCTTCATTACAAAAAAAAAAAAATGTTCTCAAGCCACACAAAGACTTGTGCAGCTCTTTATATCTCAAAAGACTTAATTATCAACATGTGCAACGTGCAATTCTTAACCTTAACTAATTATTACTTAATTCAGCTCTAGTGAGTCAGTTTACACTCATCTGGCCCCTCGTTACAGGGAATCTGAAGAACAGCAGCAGCTTGCTGTCTTGTCTTTTCATGAATGTGTGAAGAAGGTTTACATGTCTGATTCTTCCATCTATATTCAGATAATTTGGAAGGTTTTTCACAACCCTATACGACACGACTGATTGGCTGTCAGTGCAGAGCTCCACATGCTGAAAGAAAAAGACAGTGGGGTGTGAAGCCAACGGGGAGGTGTACTTGGTTAAAACAGTACAATCTTTTGGGGCTGCAGACTCAGAACAGTGTGAGAGATTTGTCATGCATTCAAAAGGAAAAAAATGTGGGCATGCAACAGTAATAAACATTCAATTATTGTAACAAATAAACAGTAATTAAACATAATTGCACATATTTATCAGCTTTTGTGACAAAAACAATGTTTTTGTTTTGCTATGGTATTTAGCATTAGTGATATGGCCTACAAGTATATAGTTAATCCGAGGTCCTGGTTATATTCATGAAGTCTGCATGTTCGTGTGAATCTCTGCGGGGTGATCCAGGTCCTCCCAGTTCCCAGAGAAAGGATGGGTAGGATGCTTGGCTGCTATACCCTGGTGCATCAGGGCTGCTGTCCCCCGACGGCCTGACCCTGTGCACAGAGGCTCTGGTGCCGACACAGCACTCTGCCAGGCCTGGGCCTCTACACTCTGAGAGATCTCCTTCAATGTGCTTCCATTCTCTCCATTCAGACATCAGAGTGCATGAGAATACAGAAATTCTCCTGAGGCTAATTTTACAATCATCGTCTCTCTGTGGGGAGAAAGCTGTGGGAGTTTGTTTTTAAAGTTTGTTTCCTTCTGTTCTTTACAGAGAATTATCACACTAAAGCACTCCGTGACGTCTTCAGAGCCTGGTGTAGCTACACGGTGTAACCATGACAACTGGCACAGAGCTATTCAAGTTATTTTTATTCTTGTGCCGATTTTTTTTTTATACTAACACAGTCACAAACAACCCTAGTTTTAAAAAAAGCGGTGATAGATCGATTTCGTTTTGTTTTGCAATGTGTTTGCTACCGAGAAACGGAGAATGTTTGTCCAAATGAGTTCAAGCTCCACAATCAGCCATTCTGACCTTGTACTGCGTCTGTCTTCTCAAGGACACTGGAAACACTGCCTCGTCACGCTGTTTCACTCCCGATCTTCACGCCTCTGTGTGCCCCTGCTTCAGAGTATGATCCAAAAGTCACAGTGAAGATGTTCTGTTCCAACACAGTTCAATTGCAGAATATTAAAAACAAAGAAAAGCTTGAGCTTCCGAAAATGTACTCTTGTTTTTCACAGTTTATGGTGTGATTACACAGAAAGCTGGGGAGGAGATCAAATGGTAATCTTAGACTTCTGCTCTCTTTCATATCAATACTACCCACAGTTCTGTGCACATCTCTCTCACCCCCACGCCCTCCACCCCAGTTGCACCCTGCAGCAGCTCCCTGGCTCATTCCTGTGCTGACCTTCGGACAGAGCTGTCTTTTCCTCTGCTGAGCTAGTTAAAGCCGAAGTATCCCTCAAAAGTATTCCTTTATATTCCTCAGCGGGTTTCATCGAAAGTAGAATTTGACTGAAAAGCTGAACTGATATACTGTAGCCGTTCTACCCAAACCCAATCAGCCCAGCAAAATTTAGACTTTGGACACCCAAAAACTAAATCATTGTCAATTGACAGAACATTGCTCTGTGCTTCATGTGATAACTTCCAAACAACTTCATGCATATCATATTTAGTATCCCAGAGCCTCAGATTAAAAATTATTTGTCTGAATTTTTAATCTCATGGCATATTTTTGATCTGGTACTGTTGCTTGCAGGTGTTGTTCTGCTCACTCAAGGTTGGCTCTGGAGTATCAGGGCCAAGAGCAACAGCAGCTTGTCAGTGCATGGAGCTCAGGAAATGCCAGCTGCTGGGGCCTAACCTCAGTCTGGAGAGACTGTGTCACCTGCAGCTGCATGTGGTCAGAACACAAACCGAACTAAGCTCTCGGGTGCATTTCTGATCCACTGTGAGGCTGGTTTTAGTGAGGTTTGGGGTATTTTAGAACAGTCTGATTTAAAAGAAGTGGTGCGGAGAGGGACCAAACAAGCCGAAATACATTATCACCTTTGCTTTGTCAGTTTTCAGTTAATCTTCATACAGATGCAATCTTTTTTTTGCATCATTAAATAGTAATAAGTAACTAGGAGTGTAGTGTTCCCAGGCATGCCTCCAGTGTCAGTGCTAAGTGATATGCCTTTTCATGCTTTCCCTGTGTCTTCTACATCACCCACAGCCTCCATGTTTGTGCTTCCTTTCTGAATAAATCACATTAATTAATAAATCACATTCACGTATTATGAATACAATGCAATATTTTCTGCAGTTAATTAATGCCTACTGTTTAATTTCGAGATCCTTATCAAGTATAAAAATAAAATTTCCATCCATTATCAGAAAGCTATGGCTGGAGAGCATGTCTCTGCATGGAGAGCAGAGAGCACATGTGGGAACTATGTGCAAGTCCCTTCAAAAGCAAAAACAGGAGGCTAGTCTGTACCCAAAGGATGGTGGGGGTATGGAGCAGGCAGCCAGCCATGTTGTTGAAGCTGACACCCTGGCTGCTTTCAAGAAATGCCTGAATGAGTTCTTGAGAACAACTCCTAACTACCGCTCAGGTACAGTACCAATCAGGGCTGAATGGCTCCTGCTGGAAACTGTCCTTGTGTTCTAGGTGTTTGGGAGGTGAGAGGACACAGGCACACAGGCTCACAGGGGGACAACTCCCACAGGCACGAGGAGAACAGGCTGGAGGCAGGCTCAGAGCCTAGGTGCTGTGAGGTGGCAGAGTTAACTGCTTTGGGCCTGTGCCACCCTCACAAAAAAACATTTGTAAAGCACGAACACAAACCAAATGTTCCTTTTGTATTCTTCATCTGCCTGATCAAATTTTCAGCTGCCAACAAGAAAGAAAAGCAAAAATTTGGAATCACATTCTAACAGGGTAGAACCACAGCAAACTGTAATAAAGAATATTTAGAGATTGTTAGCTTTTAACATAAAACCTGTGACAGAGCCACAGATGGATGATCTCTTTTCAACTGCACGGCTGGAGGGTGTGAGATATATTTCCTACTTTTCAAACTAGAATTAAAAAATGCTTATTGTCCAGCAAAAGAGATGAGTGTGGCATACTTCTCGAGATGGTAGAGAATTAAGAAAAAATGCAGAGTGCCCAGCTCCCTGGATACAGTAGATCACAAAAACACCCCTCTCTCTCCATGACCTGTTTTGCCTTTTGGATGAACCAGTGCCCCTCTCCCATCACAGCGATGAAGACCCCTGCTTGCCCCTGTGTGCACTGCGAAGGCAGGAGGGCAGGTCCGCGAGAGAAGAGGAGAGGAGGAGAGGAGGGGAGGCTGGAAGGGGCTGGCCATGATGCTGAGTCCATTGTGCTGGATGCTCCTGTCAGCTCTGAGCCGGCCCCCTCCTCCAGCCCTGCTCTGCTATTGGTAAGTGAAAAATCCCAGCAATGCTTCATCTCAGCCTCCTCCCCTCTGTGTCTCCACCAGGGTCTCATCAGTGAATGAACTGAATCAAGCACAAGCCACACAGATAGTAAGAGCCTCTTTCTGCTGTGCAGGATCGCCAGACGAACAGACACCTTTACTTTGCATCGCAAGCGAAGGAACTGGAGCTCTCTCTCTGCTTCATGGTGTTTGCAAAGCAAGCTGTCATCTCTCTCTGGATCAAACAAAACAAAGAAAAAAGACCAACGACCATTTAATTTTCTCTGTTGTGTCTCATTTCATTCTGCATTTAAAGTCTGTTGCCAGCTGTTGTGGCATCCAGCTTGGGAATAAACAATTACAACACGTCAAACAGAACAAACCTCAGCTGTTCCTAAAGAAGTGGATTTCTTGTAACTTTTTTGTGTGTGTCTAAGAAGGGTACACCTTACACACCACGGAGGGCAAAGGTCACTCAGCCGGCAAGGAGCTTCTCTTCACGCCTGGGCCTTAAGAATCAGCCAAGACGCCGCGTGCCGTGCTCCGCGTGAAAAATGCTCAGGCGCGGTTGGCGAAGCCGTCGCCCGAGCCGGCCCCTGCCCCGGGGCTGTACATGGAGCGCTCTCAGAGCCGCATCAGCCTCTCCGCCTCGTTCGAAGCCCTGGCCATCTACTTCCCCTGCATGAACTCCTTCGACGAGGACGATGTCGGTAAGGGCGGGAGGCCGCGCTCCTCCTGGTGCTCCGCTCGGTGTCGTGCGCCGCGGCCGTGTCACTCTGCGTGTCTGCATGCATGCCGCGCCGCTCACTCGCGTGCAGCGCACGGGCTCCAGGACAGCCTGCATCCTGGGCCGGCCTACTGTCCGAGGGACAGTGAACTGGGGCTGAACCCGAGCAAAAATGTAAAAATTAGTTAAGACACTGCTTCATGCACACGGGCATGACCTGTGTAAGGGTGCTTGTAATGCACATGGAAAATCGGTCAGCTTTTGTCGAAAAAAGCATTAAGCTTGAGTGCAATGGCTTCACTAGTTTCTAGTTTCTCCAAACAAATAAATAACGTTTTCTGTCCTGTTAATCTCTGCTGAATTCCCTCTCACGGGGGCATTTTTCTCCTTCTATTCTCTTCATATTGACCCTCTCATCCTTCAAGGAGCCAAAGCTCCGTGTTAGCTCTGCCTTCAATAATTTTCCTTTCACTTGCAACACAATTGACCAGCTTTAGCAAAATTCTTAATGTGTTTTCTGACAGTTGCAACACTAAGACAAACCTGCATTCATGAAATGTGCTAAACTATAAATTGGTGAAAGGTGGGAGACGGAAGGGAAAAATGTTTTCCTTCTTTTGATGGTTGCCTCTTTATCTGAGGTTTCGGAAAGGAATGATTTATGCCTTTCAATCCAATTACTGTCTGCCTGATACAGCAGCATCCAGCACAAGCCCCGCTGGTGCTGCTCTCTCGAAGAGAGGCAGCGAGTCAGCTTGTCTCTTCACAGACGTCGGAGAGAGATTTATCCGAGAGTGGGCTGACTGGCGTGGTGTCTGAATGGGAGACGTGTCTGCTCTTACAGAAGGACCTGTGGGTTTCATGAGTGGTTTTCATGACTGCCTGTTGAAAGAGCTCTGTCTTCACGCAGGATGGAGAAGCGCTCTGGACATGCAATGTCAGAAAGGTGCTCTCATCTGCGCTGGAGCTTCTCCTCAGGGGGGCCTGTGAGACAGAGCACAGACCCAGATATCCAGACATCACGTCTCATGCTGCTACAAGTTGTCCCCCGTGTCGTTAGAGCTGAAAATCTGCTCTTAAAACCAGAAGTGCTCAGATGACACACTCTGGGTTCATAACTGCAGGCACAACAGCGCACTGTTTTTGTTTATTTCACTAATTGGGATTTTTACTGTGGTAACCGTGAAAAATATGTTTTCGAAAGACTAGTTTCAGCCCTCCATTACAGCCTTTGCACAAGACTGTAAATGAATTGTGCATTCTGCTGCAGGGCAGTTTGCTCCTGTTAGTGAGTGTGAAGTGTCGGTCGGGCTCAAAGAATGCTTATTATGACTTTTAAGTCACAAGCAATTGCTAAGCTAGAGTAGTAGTGATGGGTCAGGCAGTGAAACATTAAGAGTGTTTTGCTGCGCATCACAATTGCTGTCAGAGCTCCTGGCACGAAGACAGGAGTCTGGATTATCACCTGTTGAGAGCAGGGTTGGGTCAGAACCAGCGGCCTTTACTGACTGTGGTTCTTCACTGCTTTGGTATCTGACCTAGTAAAATGCAGCGATAGCCTGAGCTCTGCCCTCCCAAGGCTGCCTGTGTGGAGCCACGCCAGAGACTCTATTGCTCAGGAAGTCGTTAGTCCCAAATCATTTTTGTATTCTCACCTTCCTGCCACAGGGGTTTGGGTTTGTGCTCGGACTCCTCAAACTGTTTTAGTTGTATCTACAAATGAGGAAAGAAAGTCTGTGGCGCCTGATTTCAGCACTGCTTTCTGGCTGCATTTCTGGACTTGAAATGACAAACTGTCTCGATGAAGCAGAGTGGAATCTGACCTCTGCAGGAACACTTTGACTATGTTTGAGCTCTGCTCAGATGTCTGACTATCTTCTAAGAAGAGTGAGGAGGACTGGTTTCAGCATGATAAGCAGAGGCTGATTTATTGTACTACTGTTAGAATGGATGATCCTTACAGCAACTTCTCGTCCTGATAATATCCAGTCAGTCTCTGCAAAGGGAGCAGGCCAGATGTTCGTTGCCAATGCTTTTGTTTCTTACCCCACAATTCTGAGAAAATGAGTTTTTGAGACACATTGCATTAATGACTTGGATATTTACTGAAAGATACATAGTCATACTTTCACTGTGTTTAAATGACGCAATAAATTATTTTTTGAGCAAACGAAACCAGTTAAAATAGCTCAAATTCCCCCCCTTACAGTGTTTCGACATTCTTTTCAATGTCCACATTTCATTTATTGCAACAGAATCCATTAACTATCTAAATCAAAATGTCTTTTGCTGGCTAGAAGATAAAGACAGTCTTTTCAAACTGGAATCTAAATTGTGTTATACACATGGTTGCCTGGCACACACTGTAGCGCTGCTGCCTCATAGCTCTTGAGTCTTGGACCTGATCCCAGACTGACAATCCGTCAGTGTGAAGTTTACATGCTCTTTTTCTTGGATGCTCCAGTTTTCTCCTGCAATCCAAAGCCTTCAATTATTTAGAATCTCAGAATTGTGCCTCACACACGTGTGTCTACGTGTGTGTATGTTCGTGTGCCCTTCAGCAGACCAGTGTCCCATCCTGGGCACTTTCTTCCTTTGTTCCATTGTCTGCTCAGCACTAACTTGTGCTGGTTATTGAAAGTGGGCAGATGCATATGTAGGTATATAAATAAATTGATGCTATAAACTGGCTCTCTGCAGTAAGAGTGCACAGAGAAATCAACCAGCTAATAAAACAGCTGTGCTTCACCGAGTGTCAGATGCAGGCCGGCACTAGTACAGTCTAAGCAGGTATGAGATCGTTTTGGCCTCATTATGTCACTGCTACTGTGCTAAAAAGAGACCATGTGAGCTACAGAGTGGGGGTGGAGCTATTTTGAAAGCTGCAGGACTGTAATGTTTCTCCGCGCTATTTCAGTGTCTTTCTAGCCCTCTGTTCAAAGGTTTACCCAGGTAGGTTTGTACAGTACTGATATATCCTATGCTCTTCGCTTGCTCTTGGCCTCTCCAGGCTCAATGCCACACCTTGTAGATCACTTTTGCCACACAGGCTGCACTTTGTTCCACACTGCATCTACCACAGTATCCCACAGCAAACATTCTCGAGAGCAGAACAGAGTAGTGGAGGACTGTGGGACAACCCATTGACCTGAGGATTTCATCAAGGTGCATCACGGGCTCTGTTCTTATGTGTAAATAAACATTTCAGTTACATGATACATTTACTCAGCCTTTTCTGTCACTATAGTAGTTATTATAATGTTGACTGCAAAATAACTGGACCTTGGACTCTTGATAAAAAGGCATCCTAACATGTATTAAATTGGAATCTAGACAGTGAAGAACACAGGCACATTAACTGTAAGGCAGACCTTTGAGCAGGTGGTATATAAACGGTGTTCTACTGGAGCAATTTCAACAACAGGGGACAATATTATCATACCAATCAGGTATAAACATTCCTATTTTCCAAAGGAAAGAACAGACACTGTTCTACACTAAATCTCCATGTAGAGACAAAGTTCCCTATGAATCAATATTGGCCTGATAGCATTCAATTAATTAAAAGAAAAGAGATGCTATTCATTAACAACGAGGCTAAAACAACAACTGCAACAACAGCAATAATAATAATAATAATAATAATATAGAAGCAAGGCTGATGAGTCTTTCTTTTAATCTCATAGTGGATGGTATAATGGTACAGTGAGATTCCTAAGTTTTGTATTGTGGGTAAATATTTAATCATGCATGAAATGTCACGTTAATTGTGCATAATTTGCTGGTCTGAATCTGGGGAGCAAGAGCAAGCAAGGAGACTTTGTCAGACAGGGGTGCTGGTCTTCTGGTCCTACACCACCATTGCGGGTCTCACATAAAGCATTTCCATCCTACAGGACCCTTCACACCCTTTGTGAATGAATTCCAGTTACGCCCCTCAGAGCACAGATACAGATTTCCCAATTTAAAAATGAATAGGTTTAAGTTCTCATTTATACCTGTGGCTATTACCTTGCCTAACAGATGCTTCTTTTGTGCATGTATATGCATATTGTTTATTTATGGGCTTTCTTTATATTGTCTGTTGCTGTAAAACAAATTGCCCCTTTTGGATACTAAAGACTCTCTCAGTAACAGTGTAAGCCCTTTCAGCGGAGTGCAGTCGAAGCACTGTTATTCCTCTCAGACAGCTGGGATCACCAGGGAGCTGAAGAACACCTTGCGGGGTTTGTCTTAGTGGACTGACAAACACTCATATTAAGTGTTGCCGGAAATGTAAAATGACAAAGAGCAGCAGAAAATGACTGATAATTGTACTTCTTTGTCACTGACAACTGTACAGCAATTTTCATCAAAGAGTGAAAATGTTTTTCACTGGCCAAGGAGAGTGCCACATTGTGCTGCCCCCTTTTTTTTAAATAACGATTTAGCAGGATTCATAATTCACATCATAATGAGAAGGGTGGTAATTACCTGCCATGCACTAGATGGAAATGGAATAATTTGTGAAATAAATCATGGTGTTGTTGTAGCTCAGGCACAGTATGAAACTCCTCTGGGCACTGAGAGAAAAATGACAGAACTCTGAGGTGAGACTGAACCACAGGAAACAGAGAACAAAACACCTTTAGAACAGCCTTCCCATATTCCTGAAACAGGCAGCACCTGATAACTTTCTGCAACACCTCCTTTGACCCTTTCTCAGCAGTGTTCATTAGTTTATCAAATTCATTTCGATATTTTGTTAAAAAATAGTTTACAAATAAAAAATAGTTTAGTTAAAAAATACTTTCTGCACGTTAGTTTTTCTCAACAAATTAACTTAAACTTGGCTTCACTATTCTGGAAAAGGTTCTGTTGAGGTTTTTGGAAAGAGCTGGGTCTGGAGACATTAGACACAGGGCCTGTAGTCCTGTCAGCTGCTGCTCCTGAGACCCACATGGTGCTCTTGGGTTGTAGTGAGTTTATGAAAGACCTAAACAT